CCTGTATCTGACATATATTTGATACCAGAAAAATGGACATTGATTCATCCACTCATTCTATATGTATTTATTGAGTACCTGTTACTTGCAGCACTCTTTTTTTAATAAATTTAATTGAAGGATAATTGCTTTCCAATATTGTGATGGCTTTTGCCATACATCAACATGAATCACCCACAGGTATACATGTGTCCCCTCTATCCTGAACCCCCCTTCCATGTCCCTATCCACACTATCCCTCTGGGTTGTCCCAGAGCACCAGTTTTGAGTGCCCTTCTTTATGCATCAAACTTGCACTGGTCATCTATTTACATACGGTAATGCACACGTTTCAGTGCTACTCTCTCAAATCATCCCACCCTCACCTTCTCCCACTGGGTCCAAGAGTCTGTTTTTTATATCTGTGTCTCCTTCATGTGCAGCCCTGTTTTAATCACTGGAGATACAGCAGTGGACAGGAAAGAAAAAAGCCCGTCTCTTATAGATCTTGCATTCTACCCCGAGAGACAGATAATAAATAAATAGACAAACTATGCCAGATGGTGATAGAAGATAACGTAGGGAAAGGAGGTGTGAAGTGTGGAGGTCAAAGTATAGATAGAATGGACATGGAAGGCCTTCCTGAGAAGGAGAAAATATGAACAAATGCCTGAAGGAAATGAGAGATTGAGCTGTAAGATACCTGAGGAAGAACATTACAGAAAACGCTTCATGGTTTGGAGTGAGACCTGTGATGGGGAGCGCAGTAGACATCAGTGCCGGAAGCCCACTGTTGGCCCCTTCCCAGGAGCCCATAATGCAGAACTGGCCCGAACGCCTTAGGACCAGAATCGGTGTAAGCACAGTGCTTGTGCTGGTGCCGGAGCCCTGTCTTTCAAATTAAGCATTAACCCTTGCTTTTCTTATAACCATGAGATGGGAAGGTCACAATATAGTCTTTTTAAAAAAAATTTTTTATATTGTACTATAGTTGATTTGGGCTTATCTGGTAGCTCAACTGGTACCAAATTGACCCAGTTCAATCCCTGGGTCGGGAAGTTCTCCTGGAGATGGGATAGGCTACCCACTCCAGTATTCTTGGGCTTCCCCCGTGGCTAAGCTGGTAAAGAATCCACCTGCAATGCAGGAGACCTGGATTCGATCCCTGGGTTGGGAAGATCCCCTGGAGGAGGACATGGCAGCCCACTCCAGTATTCTTGCCTGGAGAATTCCCAAGGATAGAGAAGCCTGGCAGGCTACAGTCCATGGGATTGCAAAGAGTTTGGCCAAAAACAAACTTCTTGGCCAACCTAATACAATTTTGTGTTAGTTTCAGATGATCATCAAAGTGATTTAGTTACACATATACCTATTCCTTTTCAAATTCTTTTTCCATTTACATTATTACAAGATATTGAGCAGAGTTCCCTGTACTATACAGTAAGTCTTTGTTGGTTATCTGTGTTATACACAGTAGTGTGTATGTTAATCCCAAACTCCCAATTTATCTCTCCCCTCCACCTTTCTCTTTTGGTAACCCTCAGTTTGTTTTCTAAGTCTGTAAGTCTATTTCTGTTTTGTAAATAAATTCATTTGTATCATTTTTTTATATTTCACATATCACCATTATAATATTTGTCTTTCTCTGACTTCACTTAGTATGATCATCTCTAGGTCCATTCATGTTGCCACAGGTCACATTATTGCATTCCTTTTAATGGCTGAGTAATATTCCATTGTGTCTATGTACCACATCTTTATCTATTCATCTGTTGATGGACATTGAGGTTTCTTCCTTGTCTTGGCTGTTGGAAGCAGTGCTGCAGTTGAACACTGGGGTACACATATTCTTTCAAACCGTGGTTTTCTCTGAATATTTGCCCAGGAGTAAGATTGCTGGATCATATGGTAGCTCTATTTTTAGTTTTTTAAGGAACCTCCATACTGTTCTTCATAGTGGCTGTGCATTCTTACCAGCAGTGTAAGAAGGTTCTCTTTTCTCCACACCATTTCCGGTATTTATTGTTTGTAAACCCTTTAATGATGGCCATTCTGACTGGTTGGGGGGGAGGCGAAATGGGATGGGATAGTCACTCTCATCCTCCCCTAAAATGGAAAACATAATATATGGAAAAGCAGACCATGCCAGTGAAAACCGTGCAGCTGTCAGCTTTCTTGTTTCATTCCATTCGCTAGATGTCAGGTAAAGGGGAGGCTATTTTATTATGATGCATTCGATTTGGAATTCCCCTAGGCAGTTTCTCCTCCTATACTCTCTTAAACTATAATGGTCTCTAAGTAGCTCAGTCTCTAGACAGGACAGAAGTAGCTCTTTGGCTGTATTAGAAACCCCCGTGGAAGGCTTTTCCTTAACCAACCAGGTTTCTTGGAGCCCCCACTCACTCGACGTAAACCTCTGTTCTAACTTCCTCCTGAGAAAGGGTACTTTGGGGAAGACCAGAGGCTCTGTATTCCCCTTTTCACTGAAATACTTGTGTCCATGAAACTTGACATAGAAATAAAACTTCAAGAGAATTTGGTTGTTCCTGGAATGAGATGGAGCTCTCTGATACTCTCTGAAAGGGTCTCAGAGTGAGAAAGGTATCTCATGTATTTATTGGGCCTCATGTATTTATTGTTTGGATAGAGGATGAGGATGAGGTAGAGGAGAATTAATGGCGATAATCTGAGGATGCAGAATTTCCTCTGGAGGAGAATGTGAGTAAGCAAAGCTACTTAAAGCATATTGTCATGAGAAACGTGGATTCCACATTATCAAGAGAACGCATGAAAATGCCATTGGACCGTGGGGATTCTAAGATTCTAACCAAAGCTCTCCTTATTCCCACTCTCTTCTCTCTTGTGACTTTGCTGAGGGCTGAGACCATCTCAGGTCCCACATTATTGCTGCTTTTTGATCAGCTCCCTGGGTCACTAGAAGGCCGGGGGAAGGGACTGGGCTGGGTTAAAGACACCTCTGCCTATGCCCACCCTGGGCTAGGGGGCTGGAGGACACATGGGGATCCAGCCACCATCGGCTGTGTGAGAGCTGTCCTCATGAGAACCCCTCTCTAGTAAACAGATTTGAAAATGAATCAACATGACTAAATTCTCAACTGAGGACTTCTGTAATGCTGGCAGGTCATTTTAGAACTGGCTTTTGCTATTCAGGCAGTTGATGAAGTACAGGAGGCTGAGCTGGCATTTATCTGCAAAAATGATGCTTTGCAGTCTGTGCCCCCATAACTGAGATGCTATTGTTACATGTTAATTGCATTTTGTACACATGTGCTTTTTGGTATTTGTCCGTATGTCTTGTTAGGCTTCATTTCCATTAGTTTGTAAGGCAAAGTCTACAATTCCTGTTTCTCAGGCACTCTTAACCCTGGGAAAGATAAATTAGTTTTGCATCCAGAGTACTGAATAAATGCCATTGAATAAACTGGGGCTCTGAAACAACCTAGAGGGGTGGGAAGGGGTAGGTGGTGGGAGGGAGGATTGAGAGGGAGGGGAAATATGTATACTTATGGCTGATTCATGTTGATGTATGGCAGAAACTAATGCAATATTATAAAGCAATTATCCTTCAATTAAAAATAAATAATTTTTTTAAACATTGTTAAATAAAGATTGTTACCCTCTAGGTGATAGTATATTTAGAATAAAAGTAAGAATTATACAAAGCAAGTTGCTAATCTAATTTCTTCATATTAGAAAGAGTGCTATATATACATAATTCAATTAGAATAGTGCTTTGTATTTAAACACATTTAGTGTATATGTTCTGTTCATCTTTTTTAAAATTGCTAGGCATCCTCACTGTATTGCCATGTAGGGAAACTTCTTAGAATAAATCAGAAAATGTAAAATAATTCAACTCTGTTGTTTCCCCCAAACTTAAGACCTTATGATGAATGTGCCGGGTTGTGTAGACAGCTCGACCTCATCCACATCCACTAGTGTGGATCCTCATCCACACACATCCACATCCTCATCCACACACACTAGTGACTATTACATGTGACAGGATCAAGGAGGGACCTGTGCAGAGAAGCACAGACAGAAAGGTCATGGGTTCACAGCAGGGAGCAGGCACATCAGTTGGGGAGATTAGGCTTTCTGAAGGAACTGATGTAGGGAATGCACTTTGAATGAGGGATAGACTTTCATTATCTCCAGTTTGGGGAAAGTTGTTCTGGCCAGGTGAAGGTACGGGGCCCTGGAAAGGTGTGAGTATTAAGAAACTATGCCTAAGGGTTCAGGCAAATACAGGAATACAGTGTCCCCCAGACTGGTGGGAAGCATCAGTTTTAAAGTAAGGATCAACTGAGAGAAAACAACCACTTAAACAATAATAGACTGCAAACGTGAGCCACCTTCTTCTCAGATGCCAGATATGGTAAAAGTGCTTTGTATGTGGAACCTGTTCTCATGTGAAAAAGCTCAATTCTATTTTTGTTGAAGTATTTTTCATGAAAGAGCAATATTATCAGAGCTATGATAAAGCAGATTCCATTAGAGATGAGGCCCCGGCAAAGACTGAAGGCAGGAAGAGCATCCAGGAGGCCATTTGTATGTTCTTTGCAGGATGTAGTGAAGACCTGAGTTATGCCAGCATGAACTTGAGTGAAAAAACAAAATTGGGTTGATATGAATCAGATGTCATTTTAAGCTTCATCCTGTAGTTTCTGCTAAAAATTGGGTTTTCTAACTCAAGACACTTCAGTGGAATCTTGAGGACCTAGACAGCCTGATTCTGTCCTAAATTCTTCCATTGGGATGTAGCAACCATGAGTCGGGAAGGCTGACATCTCCTAGTGTTACCTGAGTCAGGAACCTGAAGACATAGACTCTTCCCTCATTGCTTATGTTAACTGTTCCCTGCTGTCCGATAGTTCAAGGTTGTCTCAGAAGACTGTGACCATCCTCTTTCATTTCATGTATCAAAAAGCACAGATTCCTTGAATGTTTAAATTTTATGTTGCTATGAAATACTAATCCCAGTGTTAACTGTCTTACAGATTCCATTGTGATTGGATTTTGGGTTGGTCTTGCAGTCTTCGTGATTTTTATGTTTTTTGTGCTGACTCTGCTGACCAAGACAGGAGCCCCACACCAAGAGTAAGTTTGGGCTGTTTCTAAATGTCTGTTAAACCCCACAGGGACTTGAACAAACAGAAATGTATGGGGGGTGGGGTTGCTTCTAATGGATGGAGAGATGGATTTCCTGTCCAGACCCAGGTGCTGGTTGGGTGGGACCTGTCTTCCTCCTAGCACTTTGCCTCTTGCCTCTGAGGCTTCTTTTCAAGTGAACCCTCATGCACCTGGGTTTCTTGGTCTTTCCTATAGTCTTAATGCTGATCCTGACTCGATGTTTATTTTGAAAGGTTATTAATTAAGATGGATTTTCTCCTTATTCCCAAAAGAATTTAGGTGACTCACCAGACCGAAAACAATGAAAAACGACAATAACAAAAATAGGATGAAAGCTAGCTTAAAAAACATTTCAAGGAGCAGAGAAATTGTTGTTACTGAATACTCGACTAAATTGTTTAATTATTCACTGAATTCAGCACTAAATTTGCTCAAAGTGAGATAAAGGATTATAAAAGTTTCATGGTGTGGTAAAGAACATCTGTGATGGGCTTTGGATTTATGGAGGAAATGACTGCGTGGATGCTTAATGAGTGTTGAATAACATAAAAACATAATTGGGTGGTTATAGTTTGCAAAAACTCAGAAATGTTTTAGAGACTTTTTTAATCCCAACTCTTCCAAAAAAGGAAAAAATAACAACTTGTTTGATACCTTGTCAGTCAGTTCCAGAAGGCAGCAGATAGCACATTCAAATTAGGTAATTAGAAGAGCTTTTTAAAAACTTAATTTTCTTATTGAAATATAGTTGATTTACAATGCTGTGTTAATTTCTGCTCTTCAGCACAGTGACTCAGTTATACACATATTTCTGCTTCTTCAGTATTATTTTCCATAATGATTTATCCCAGGATACTGAATGTGGTTCTCTGTTTTATACAGTAGGATCTTTCTTTTTATCCATTCCGTATCTACTAGTTTGCATTTACTAGTCCCAAACTTGCAGTCTATTCCTCTGTTACCTTGACAACCACAAGGCAATATCTATGAGTCTGTTTGTTTCATAGATAGGTTCATTTGTGCCATATTTTAGATTCCACATATAAGTGATATCATATGGTATTTGTCTTTTTCTTTCTGACTTACTTAGTATGATAATCTCTAGTTGCATCGATGTTGCTGCAAATGGCATTATTGCATTCTTTTTTATGGCCGAGTAATATTCCATTGTATATATGTACCACATCTTCTCTATGCATTCATCCATTGGTGGACTTTTAGGTTGTCTCTGTATCTCGGCTGTTGTGAATAGTGCTGCTGTGAACTCAGGGGTGCATGTTTCTTTTTGGATTAGAGCTTTTGACAAAGGGACTCGTCACAGCTTGTGGCCTGGGACGAGAGCAGCCCGTCTTCCTGGATGCTGCGGGATGCCAGGGCTCAGAACACTGAGGAGCAGATGCCCTAAATCTGAAGGGTCCTGATTGTCTCCCGGGAGCCCTGCAGAGAGACTGGCTGAGAGCAGCAGTGACCCAGGTCAAGGGACACAGCCCACTGTGACCTCTTAGGGAGGGAGCCTCCAACAAATACCCACACCCGCCTTTCCCCGTCTCTCCCCTTTCTCACCACTGCTCCCCACTGGCTGAGCACCGCACCACTACCAGTGGCCAGAGCCTACATCAGAGGTCAGTTTCCCAGGGCACAGGGCAGGGTGGGGAAGGGTAGGGAACAGCCTGGGAGAGTAAATGGAAGAAAGTGAGCACAAATCCTCACATTTCCATTCAGTGTCTGCCTTCATCCTCACCGCCTAGCCGTGGTGTTCTTCTTGTAACTCATCACACAGTCTGCACTGTCTGCTGTTCAGTCTCCAGCCTGCACTTGAACTCTAACAACTAATCATATAAAGGGAATGGTTCTGCGCATCACACAGCTGTTTTCAGACATTAAGGTCTGGGAGAAAAATTCAAATACATGTTAAATGAAAGTAAAAGACCATTTTATTGAAGGCTATGGAGATGGATGGTTGAGAATCTCTGGAATAGCCACTAAAAAAAATGTGAACTTTCCCTTTTCTGTCTCCTTGTTTTTGCAAACATCTGCACATGCCTTTGCTTCAGTATATTGGTCCAAGGAGTTTAGAAATCTGGTGTGGATTATAGCAGTAGTAAGGGCTTCTCTGGTGGCTCAGAGGTTAAAGCGTCTGCCTGCAATGCAGGAGACCTGGGTTCGATCCCTGGGTTGGGAAGATTCCCCTGGAGAAGGAAATGGCAACCCACTCCAATATTCTTGCCTGGAGAATCCCATGGATGGAGGAGCCTGGTGGGCTACAGTCCATGGGGTCTCAAAGAGTCAGACACGACTGAGTGACTTCACTATAGCAGTAGTAAAAAAAGCCAAGGACAAGCTCAGGTTCGGGCACAACTAGCAGAGTGACCGGGGAATAGTAAGCCCTTTTATCTTCCTGCTCCTCAGCGAGCCAGATGGACTTTTCATGGTTGTTGAGATGTACTTGTTTGACATAAGATGCACATGATTTTACAGATGGGAACACCCTAGCTCAAAAGGGAGCATGACTTCCTGTAATGAGTAATTTTCTGTTTGTCTAGGCCATGATATTTGGTAAAACATTATTCTAGATGCTTCTGTGAAGGTTTTTTTTTTTTTTTTTTAGGTGAGATCAGTCTTTTAGGGAGACTGATCATTCCCCATAATGAGGGTGGGCCTCATCCAACTGCAAAAGGCATTCCTAGAAACAGATGGACCTCTGTCTAGCAAAAAAGGAATTCTGGCAGGGAACTGCCTTCAGACTCAGACTGCAGCCCTTCCCTGAGTCTCCAGCCTGTCCAAACCCTACAGATTTTGGACTTGCCTGTCTCCACCATCACATGAACCTATTTCTTAAACTAAATCTGTTCCCACCTCACCCTGAATGGATAGATAGATAGATATAGAAATAAATGTGCACAGGCACACACACACATTCACACACACCCACACGCACACCCACATGCACAGCCACACACACACCCACACACCCCTGTTAGTTCTATTTCTCTGGATAACACTGACTAATACATTGCCTCAACATTTCACATTGACCCTGGGTAGCTGAGGCTTGTTCCCCTTTTCCAGTTGGCTATTTGTCCTTCTAATAGATGATTTCTCTTTTGATGGTTATTCTTAGTCATCTCAAAGAACAGGGGTCATTGTAACCCTACATGCTTTTGGTGAGGTTAAGGAGAAAGTTTGACCTTTTCATTTTTACTTTTAATGAAAAGATGGATCAGCCCTCAGGGCCACACTTTAAATGTTTTTCTGAAGCAGTGTAAGACGTGCATTTGGCTGTAGTATATGAAAATCAAACTGAATGATACAGACATATGGAAAAATCCCTAAATGGAGCAGTTAAGAATGGTTTTATATTTTAGTAAACTTGACATTTATTTGGCAGGAAATATTTTTTGTAAAATAGACATTATCCAAGCAGCCAACTTTAATATAAAACAACCAGTTTTAAGTTTGCCCCTGATAATTAGACATGGAGGACATAATGATAAATCACTGAGAATAATACTAAGAACATTTTTTAACATTTACCATCTGCCAGGGTCTGTTAATCACTTTATAGTATAATCTCACTAAGTTTCCACTGAAAGTGGAAATAAATCACATAGGATTTATTCTGTAAAATCTCACTTTACAGATGAGAAAAATGAGACTGAATCACTCATATAAGGATTCACAGGTTTAAAAAAAATTATGCATATTAAAAAGCAGAGACATTGCTTTGTCAGCAAATGTCCATATACTCAAAGCTATGGTTTTCCCAGTGGTCATGTATGGATGTTAGAGCTGGACCATAAAGAAGTCTGAGTGCTGAAGAATTGATGCTTTTGAACTGTGGTGTTGGAGAAGACTCTTGAGAGTCCCTTTGACTATAAGGAGATCAAACCAGTCAATCCTAAAGGAAATCAGTCCTGAATATTCATTGGAAGGACTGATGCTGAAATTTGAAGCTCCAATACTTTGACCACTTGATGCAAAGAGCCAATTCATTAGAAAAGACCCTAATGCTGGGAAGGATTGAAGGCAGGAGGAAAAGGGGACGACAGAGGACAAGATGATTACATGGCATCACAGACTCAATGGACATGAGCTTGTGCAAACTCCGGGAGACAGTGAAGGACAGAGAAGCCTGGCTTGCTGCAGTCCACAGGGTCTCAAAGAGCTGGACATGACCGAGCGAGTGAAAAACAGCAACAAATGGAGCCAAGCCTCAAACTAAAGTCTCTCTGAAGCTCCTGTTGTCAACCCTGCATTAAATGACTTCATATCAGTAATATTAAATCTTTCTCTCTTACAGCAAAGATAATTAGCTAACTATTAGATTTGCTTTCTTTCATCACATACTGGATCAGGCACGGGCTCTGGAGTCAGCGTTTCCAGATTTCCTGGATTCTTAACATCTCTGTACTTCATGATTGCTCACTTGTAAAAATAAAGTCGTTGCTGCCTCCTAGGGGTTCATAAAGATTGAGTGAACGGACGCCTACAGAACTGCTGGCATGCACTAGCCTCCCAGCAGGCAGCCCTCAGTGAAGATCAGTCCACCCCTGCATGGCTTATGGCATCCTGGGGAGAGCAGAGGGGTGCAGGTAAAGAGTAGGAAGGAGCAGAGGATTCTCATCCTCCCATAGGACAGCCAGGTCCTAAGCTTTCATGTTGGAGGTACATGTGCCAAATGTGACTTCGTTCTACCCTGGCTTCACCTCACCTTGGGTATGTCTCTCAGAAAAAGTTCTTTTTCAATTGCTCAATCGTGTCCAACTCTTTGCAACCCCATGGACTGCAGCATGCCAGGCTTCCTTGTCTTGCACTATCTCCCAGAGTTTCCTCAGACTCATGTCCATTGAGATGGTGATGCCATCCAACCATCTCATCCTCTGTCATCCCCTTCTCCTCCTGCCCTCAATCTTTCCCCACATCAGGGTCTATTTCAGTGAGTTGGCCCTTCATGTCAGGTGGCCAAA